CGATTCAACTCATTTTTGACACAAAGACATACTATTATTGAGAGGCTCATTTATTTATTTTATTATATAAATTTCAACAATATATCTTACACATTGACCGATATTTTCGCTACGTTAATAGTGGCAAACGTGAACGAATAGAAATTTGTCCATTCTATATAGGATCCGCTGAACGGCAACGTTAATAGTGGCAAACGTGAACGATTAATATTCACTTTAATAGGCTGGGATTCGTTGTTGATTATCTTGAATGTGAAGCAATGTTGAGAAGCGCTACGTTTTCCAATTTCGTGTTGAGTAGCTTTTAAATTTGTATCGAATTGGATAAGTAAATCACTTCCAATAGAATCGAAATCATGCTCTTCCAAGCTAGTATATACCGCCAAGAAGTTCGATTTCAGCTCGATTAATGAATCAATGACTGCCGCCAAACCATATTCATCTATGCTTTGCAGTCGTTCCGAGTCCATATCCGTACCTATGCATTCAAGGCGCTTATACATAGCCTGTGTCTTCAACTTCAAAAAGGTCACCCTGCTAATAGGTGAATAATGACTTATGGGGCTCTCATTTACAGGAATTTCTCCAGCTGGAGAACCACTGGTACGATTTAACGACATCTCGGTATAGTTTAAGTAATAAAATTGTTAAACGAGGTTAAGTGATCAGCGCGGTAACGTTAATTGAGAACTGTATTAAACCGTTGAAGAAAATAGCGGCACTTGATATACGGTCGTTAAATATAATATTTTAGTTTACCGTACTAACTGTTTCTAGAAGACCACGTTACAAAGCGCCCGATTTACGGTGCGTAAGTTTTCAAATTTACCGAAGTAGCGCTTTCTAGAAAACCACACCACATTATTGCCACAAATCACATTGAATTTAAAACACGACTTGGATGTATCGACCGTTCACTGTATGTAAAATATGTCCACTAAAATACACTAACACTGCAGCACACGAACTAATCAGTCTGCTATTTAATGTAATTTTTACTTTTTTTAATGAGAAGCACACACAGCGATCACGTCGGGGTCACCAAATGTTGAGTTACCAATCTTTTTTGGCAGCTATGAATCGCGAAATTCAAACCACTGTCATATATTTTAATGTAGCTTATTAAAATATATATGTAACAAATACAACGAGTGGAAAGTTACGTGGCTGGTGTGGCTTGTCTGCGTCTGCAGGTAGCGAGTGTTAGAAACCATTTGATTTACAATAATATGCTTAAGCAAGGCCAAGCAAAATTGTTCTCACATGTATGTATATATGTATAAACATTTTAAAGGATAAGGAGGAGCTGCTTCGAACAAATATAATAATGTGACGTAAAAATATTTGAGTAATTTACAAATAAATACATTTATCTATTGGCTACATAATCGCCAAATAACCCTGCAAGCCAACCGCGTTGAAAAATCTAGTTAAACAGATGGTATTGAAATCCTCAAAACTTCCTGTTGCGCTCATTCAGTAGTTTTATATAAAAATAGTAATTCTGCTCTAATATCTCTAATCGTCAGCTGATTCAGGGTTGCATATTCTGATTCCTAATTAAAATAATTTTAAACCACCATTTTAATTTTAAATATAAAATTATTTTAACAATGTTAAAAATATTTACCTAGATTAATTACTTACAGATAAATATACATATTATCTATGCAATACAATGTAATTCACATCTTATAAACCAAAAATTAAAAGTCCTGTTGAAAAACATACAGGCAATATCATCGTTTGATCCTTAAAGTATAAAGAGATCAAGCGCAAGTAGTATAAGTCTCAAAAAAATATAAGAGCATTACCAGAGAATGTAAAATATAGAGAAGGTCCAACTACGGACCAGCGTGTGAATTGTCAAAACCTAACAAAATGCGATGAGGGTATTTCACCACAGTCGGCTCGGAAGGAGAAATTTTAACAGTGGCGCGTGAACAGAGCTGAGCATTGTATGAAAATTATGCTCAGAAGTTAGCATTGATATTACAGCCGCATGTTAGCTTATATTTTTATACGTTTATATGCAATCATATTCATAGATATGAAATTCCTTTTCTGAATATCTATGATATCATGAAAAATGTATTACATTTTAGTTAAAATATATTACTTCAAAGGAATATTTATAGTTGCTTTTTAAATATTGCTTATGTTTGATAATATGAAATGCTTTCATATAAGTACATATGTATGTATATGTATCTGCTATGTTTTACTATATATATACATACATAAGTATATAACACACTAACATAATATCTTAAAAATCTTAATATATTTAAATAGTAATATATGCCAATCACACCTTTCATGATTTAAAGCTTACATACATACATATGTATATACTTATGTAAGTAAAATTCAAATTCAAATCAAGTTATTATCATTTATCAGTAATAACATTTGCGCGCACTGCTCTATATGTACATACATACATATGTGCTTATGACATTGCCACACAAATAATGGATACACAAACCTACATTCATATATTCGTAAATATGTCACTCGCAAAAACTACAAACTTGTTCTACAAAAANTGAACAAATTTCTGATATTCCCTCTGGAAGGGAAAAGTTGCAACCACGCAAGCCCACAAAACACAGAAAAAATTGATAAAACTGGCAACAAAGCTTTTGTCGATTTTAAATATTTTACAATTTTAAAAACAGTTCGGATTTTCTACCAACAACACAATGTTGTGACGCTTTGTCGTCGCGTCAGTCCTTCGACACAGTGACTCTTTGACAAGAAAACAAAAAACGTGAGCTTTGGCCATTGGTTGTCCGTGGCAACGGAGATTTCGCATGAAACAATGAGTGTACATATTTACATACATACGTTGCTTATAGACAAATTAACAATTATAATGGTTACTTTCATATTTGTTTACATGCAAACATAATTATACATATGTATATATTTGAATAAGAATATTTGGGACCGCTTCGTCTTTTCTTATCGGGTTATGTCAAGCAAGAGGTGTACAAAATCAAACCCAGAAATCTGACTGAACTGAAGCAGTCCATTAAATAGATAATTTAGGCAATCCCGAATTATGTGTCGCATATGCGTGGTTGAGTATGGAAGAATAATTAATTGTTTAAATAAAACAAAATTTTCTATACAATAACAGAATTGAATGTAATGCATTGACTAAAAAGAAACTTATTACGGTTTAATTTTGTAGCACGATTCGTTAGCCACCCTGTATAGGAAGAATATCTTCAAATTATATCCAATGTCGTTTACGCATTGTAGATATACGAATCTGTAAGCGTACATTTCTTAACATTGAAATTAGCATTATTTTTCTCAATTAACATTGAAAATGCTCAATTCTGCTATTTTTCAGTCCCCTGATGTTAATTGTGGACATTTGGTGAAACACGCTCATCGTTTTCAGTACCCCTTCCAAATGTGGTGAAACACGCTCATTTTGCTAATGGCCGCACTGTGAACCGTCTCTATGATATACGTTCTCTGGTAGTAGTACTAGACTTAAATCGATTTAGTGAAGATCCAGGTTTGACTAAGCATGAAATTGTTAATACAATAGGCATCTCAGATGAACGAGTACTTTATATTTTACATGGAGAATTACATATGAAGAAGCTGTTTAGAAAATTAGTGCCGCACACGTTAACAACTCAATAAAAACCGGATCGAAAACAAATTTCTCGGCATAATTTGGACCGTTTTAAGCAGAATAATTTTCTCAGTCTCATCCATAGTTATAAAGTGAGGCAAGAAATCGGCCTCACTTTATAACTATGGATGAGACTGAGAAAATTGAAACCAGAACATTAACAATGGACTGAAGCTGGTTGTTCAGCTCCAAAGCAGGTAAATTCACAACGATCAGAAAGAATGTTATCAGTTTTGTGGGATGCAAAAGGAATTTTGTTGATTAATTATCTGCAGAAAGGTAAAACAATCAACTCTGAAGATTATTATAGCCTTTTGGATCAGTTGGATGAAAAAATTCTTGAGAGAAGACCTGGTTTGTAGCACAAAAAATAATATCTCTTCAATCCAATGCACCTGCTCACAAAGGTATTTTAACAATGACAAAACTCAATGAATAAGAGTACGAATTACTTGAGCATCCACCGCATTTACCAGATTTGGCTTCCAGCGACTGCTATCACTTTAGAAATCTGAAACAATCCCTTCGTGGAAATCGGTTATCGTCGAATAAAGAAGCTATTACAGCCGTAGACAAAAAATCCATTCAGAAAAGAAAAATATGTAGTAGTATGTAAACCAGAAATGGCCAACAAAGTAGTGAGTAAAATTACCGTTATTCAATTCAACGAACAACCAAATATATCTGGTAATCGAAGAAGACCAAAAATTGAGAACGATAGTTCAGGAGAATAAGGTCATATCTGATGAGAGCGAGGCTATACTCATTGATACGATGATGACACGCAGGGTGGTAGAAGTAGAAAAAGAATGCGTTGAAATACATGAAGATGAGGATGAAGAGGTTTTGCACAAGCCGACACAATTACTGAAAAAGTGCGAAGCTGTTTTAGGTGGGCAAAATTCAAGTTTCACTGGATAAGAACAAGAAGATTACGTAGATGATGGGGAGCAGCCAACTAGTACAGCACGCGAATATGCTAAAATGGATCATGTTGATGAAAACGATTGTCGCATCTGTAGCGGCAGCGAAGTTCTAAACAGCCTTTTCAAAGTTATCAATAAACAAACAATAGCAAATAAATTGATGAAAATATATATGACAGTGGCCATTGCTCCAAAGGATTTTATGCCACGATTTATATGCAATACTTGCTTGAATGATGTAAACGTTGCTTTCCAGTGGAAGGCACAGTGTGAAGATACTGACAGTAAATTGAGACAGAAACTTTCACACAGCAAGAATAAAACACCGGCTGATTATGCTGATGATATGGAAATTAAAGTCTCCGACAATGGAGCCATAAAAGCAAAATATGACTCAAATGATTCTGATCTTGGTACTACAACCAAACAAAAACGTTTTCGACGTGGTGCTGGGGGTAGACGAGATAAACGATAATCAACGACCGCAGAATTACGGGATCCAAAGGTAGTATGGTAAGCCACAAATTAACGTAAAACTAAGGGTACACCGCCGTCCAATGAGAAAGAAAGAAAGCCGACAAAACACTCTTGCGCCTAATATGAACAAATAGTTACGAGTAAACTATCATTAATACAACACAGGAAGACGCATCAATCGTGAACAGTTATGTAACAGGATAACATTTGAATGACACAAATATGAATATGCATCCACCAAGCAGAGAACGTAGATTATAGAGAAGGTTCACAGTGCGGCCATTAGCAAAATATTTCACGTTTCGAAGGGGTACTGAAAACGATGAGGGTATTTCACCAAATGTCCACAATTAACATCAGGGGACTGAAAAATAGCAGAATTGAGAATTTTCAATGTTAATTGAGAAAAATAATGCTAATTTCAATGTTAAGAAATGTACGCTTACAGATTCGTATATTTACAATGCGCAAACGACTTTTCATATAATTTGAATATATTCTGCCTATACAGGGTGGCTAACGAATCGTGCTACAATATTAAACCGTAAGAAGTTTCTTTTTAGTCAATGCATTACATTTATTTTTTTTATTTTATTTAAACAATTAATTATTCTTCCATGCTCAACCACGCATTTGCGACACCTAATTCGGGATTGCCTCAATTATCTATTTAATGGACTGCTTCAGCTCAGTCAGATTTCTGGGTTAGATTTTGTACACCTCTTGCTTGACATAATATGATAAGAAAAGACCAAGCGGTCGCAAATATTCTTATACATAATATATGTATAATTATGCGTGCATGTAAACAAATATGAAAGTTCCCATTATAATTATTTATTTGTCTGCATGCAACATATATATGTAAATATGTACACTCATTGTTCCATGCAAAATCTCCGTTGCCACGGACAACCAATGGCCGAAGCTCATGTTTTTTGTTTTCTTGTCAAAGAGTCACTGTGTCGAAGGACTGACGCGACGACAAAGCGTCACAACATTGTGTTGTTGGTAGAAAATCCGAGCTATGCCGAAAAAAAATAACGAACGGCCGCCGATTGTCACCGCTTCCCTTGCCGCTCTAACAGCTTTGCCTACAAACTATCGTAAATATGTATGTTTATGTATGAACATGCATACATATTGACGGAGATTTTTGTCATCGGAAAATATTTTTGAATTGTTAAATATTTTAAATGGACAAATGGCTTTGTTGCCACTTTTGTCACTTTTTTTCTGTATTTTGTGGGCTTGCGGGGCTGCAACTTTTCCCTTCTAGAGGGAACATCAGAAAGTTTTTCAATTTATTTGTTAATTTGTCTACATGCAACATATGTATGTAAATATGTACACTCATTGTTCATGGGAAACCATACACACTTTTACAAACATATATCGCATATGGGCAAGTGCAAAATCAACCCCTATTCATATACAACGTGGCATGCGTAAATGGAAACAAAGTCAACGAGTCATGTGCATATATACGGGCAGTTGTGTGTACAAAAAATTCGAATATTTACATTCTTTCACAAATACAGTCAATCCCGATTGAGTGCCAAAACCAAAGTTGCAGATTTTTTGTGCTTTGTAGTACATAAGCGATTGTGGTACTTAAGCGAGTGGTACCAAAAAAAAAATTTCTATGTATTTAAAAAAAAATACCGTTTTCCTTAAAAAATTAAGGAAAAAAAACGTGAGATGCAGTAAGACACAAGCAGATAAGAGGGATTGGAGGAGCGATACTTACCCGGGGCTTACTGTATACATAAATTAAAGGAATATTGAATATTTTCTTTAAAAAGTTTCTTGAATTGTAAATCGACAAATATATTATGTTGTGACTTTTATTCTAAAATATTTTAATACTCATATTTGAGGGGTCACTTTTCTCTTCTAGAGGGAAATCAGAAATTTGTTCAATTTATGATTTTTAGCTTTTGCCATCGTCGTGAAAAGACGCTTGTAGGCAAACGCATGCTCGGGGAGATGAGAGGGTGTCTGTTTTTATGAATGAAGCGAGGTTGCTTGTTGAAAGTACGCCTGCGTTCATGAATGAAAATGTTGTTGTTGTTTGATTTACTAAAAATTTGACCTTCGCCTATTTGGCTGACATATTGACTTGTAACGATTGTTGTTTTTGTAGAACAATGTTTGTAGTTTTTGCGGGTGACATATTTAATTTTCATACAATGCTCAGCCAGAGAACTTAAAACTTTTGTTTTCATTTCACCAATGTTGACATTGTTCTATTTGTATACACGATTTTTCAAACATTTAGTATTTTAGTTTTAATTTTTCATAATGTAAAAGCTCAAAACTAAAATCCAACTATTAGAAATAGTTTACCTATTTATAAATAAATGTATTCGACTGTGATTTTGAGTTATTTTAAGAATACTTTAAATATATAATATTACATAATTGATTGATTGAAAAAGATTGACAACCCTGCGATGGAAGAGATAGATTGCTCTCCCACTTTCTTCGGAATCTTCACGTAAAGAACTCATTTTTCACTTTACAGCTACAGAGTGAAAATGATAGTTTATATATAGTTTATAGCAATTGAATTAAAGTTTTCGATTGACATACTTACTCATTAATATAAAAACACAATCGTTTAATATAGAAGCATAATCGCGTTGAGCTTCCAGTTACAGTTTTTTTCGAATTACTATTTTAAATCTTGAAGTAGCGAGCACGTTAGCTCAATACAATAACAAGAATAACAGCGAACATTCGAACACGAAATATGCAAAGTCTGTTCAGTCTTAACATAATCGAAATCAAACCACAATATCGATATTATTTGTTCGTTGAACGAACCAGTAGATCACATATTTTCGAACATATATATATACGACAATAAAGTTAAGATAATAGCAGATCATTGTCCAATCAAATATCTAGTTAATAAATATTAAGGAAAGGAATTTTCTCACTGCCATCAGAGGTGGTTATTGAAATTGCAGGAATACATCTTTGAAATAGAATACGTAAATGGAAAAAATAATGTTGTAGCTGATTTCTTGAGTCGAATTAGGAACTCGCCAATAATAAAAGAAGGTAACGACAATGAATCAAACCTGGAACTGTCAGAAACAATTCATTCATTAGATGAAGAACTGCTCGTACACAAAAATTTTTTTCTTGCCTCTTTCTATAATGATAGTTAGATTACTATAAGTTTATATTATGTACAGTTTTTAATTAATAAAAAAACGGTGCTTGCAAATGCAATTTAATTTAATTTGATTTCAATTTATGGTCAAGTTATGGAGAAAGCAGTTTATTTTTCGATATCCAAACTCGTTTTTTGCATACAAATTTCAGCATACTTATTTTTGTTTTCGTCGATCTGATTGACATTTTTGAATGCGTATTTTTCATTTGATGCAATTTCCTTCAACATTTTAGGTTGCATTTTTAAAAATTCAAAAAATTCCTTACAAGTCATTTAAATGTTGTATCGAACATAGAAAAGATCACTCAATGTTTCGATCTTTATTTGTGATTTTTCATCCTTTCAAATCTGATTGATCAAGAAAATACTCGTTCAACGGTGGCTGATGTGCCTGGCAAGGAGAGAATATACGATATGATTCTGACCATGTGGTTGTATGGAACCTTCTTTTTGACGAAATGTTGAAAAATTTCAACCCAGCGTTGATCGGTGGCAGTACCATTTTCTTCCCACGATTGGATTTTCTCTTCGGTTACGTATCTTTCCAAATACGTGAACTGATCGAATAAATCAGTATCGGATGATTCCAGATCAAAATGGTTATTGGTTGCGATGTACTTCGCGGTGGTTTCGATAAACTTCCATTGCGGTTCTTGATCAAGCGCACACCAGGCAAAAATCAGCCACATCTTGGCCCTTGGATCTTCAAAAAATAATAGCAAAGAATTTGGGGTGTTGGGATCTCCCAAAAAATACTCCTTAAGACCATCAAAAATTCTTAATATTGAGTCGACTGATGACAACAAGCCTAGGAAACGAGTTTTGCTGTAACCTATCAGTTTTTTATATTCCACATCCACGGATTCACAAAATTTTTTCAATTTTGCGAAACGCACGGTGAACAAATAGAAATGTGAATAAATTTTGACTACAATCATCTCCACATCAAAAGGCATTTTGTCGCAAGCTTTTTTTAAAGTATTGTGAACAATATGCGCTGCACATCCAACGCCAATCAATCCAGGATAAAGCTGCTTTGTAGAACACATTATTTGTGCCGGTTCGATCAACGTTGCCAAAATTACACGCCGCGTTATCTCCACAAAACGCAACTAGTTTCTTATTTATGTTCAATTTGTTCATAGCGCTATTCAGCAAATTTACAATTATTTTGGAACTTTCTCCATGTGCATCTACCAAGTCTATAATTTTCACTTATCTAATATCGGAAACATTTTTGTGCTGCCATGATTAGAGGCATCCGTCAATATACACTCCGGTTGCGATGGCTTCGCATTTCGTTCGCGCACAAGAAAATTTGGACATTGCGAAACAACTTCGAATGATTTTGGAAGCGCAATCGGCCGAGCGAAAACTGTGATTAGAACTTATCACATGAAATGCCCAAACGCCTTCACACGCCGCGATATGGGCATCTGTTCCGGTCAAAGTAGAACTTTTTAAATATCTATTGAGTGTGTGGCTGGACGTGGCAGCGTGCAATGCATTTTGGTGATTTTTTGATTTAATATGCGACTCAATATCTCGGCGACCACTATGCATAATACTAAAACCCGTGTTGCACACTTCGCAAAGGACATCACTTTCGGTCTTCGCTTTCTTAATAAACGAAAATTCTTCTCGCAATTTTTCGTTAAATATATTTACTCCACATTTTCGCGACATTTTAAAAAAATAATACAACGTACACACACAATAGCGTCGCTTCCACAATATCACCTGTCAGCATAAGTTCCACAAATTGTTGGTAGAAAATACATGAATAAATGTAAATAAGAAGAGCTTTAACATATGTAATTTCTCTTTAACACGAACAAATACAATAAAAGCATTCCACAAACGGCGTTGCCATAATGGCGAGTTTAACATAGTTAAAGCTGGGTGAATATATTTAATTCGCATTAGGGGTATTCATTCCATCGTCACGGGTGG